AAAAGCATGAATAAGTACTGCACACAATAGCATAGATAAACTGCACAGGTACAAGAATACAGCCACTGTATGACTCTATTTTACCAAGTTCAAGATCATGCAAGACTGATCAGATAGTTGTTGCCTGTGGGAAGAGAGGAAGGTTGAGGAAGAGCACCAAGGAGCCTTCCCTTGCAAAAGAAATGCAACTGGACTCACTAATGGTGGCACAGGTGTGTGCTGACCTAACTATTCATTCACTGCTCACTGCATACAGGGGCATACACTCTAGTGCATATCTTTGCCCAAATTGGAAAAGGCTCCACACATTATTACCAAATGCTTTCTAAGTTTCAACTGGAAATTTAAGAAAATTTTAACAGATCAAGTTGTAGCAATTACAGGGGACACATTGTTACAAACTTCCATTCCTCCTTACTTAGAACTTGAAAGGAATCACTTTTGGACCAAAGTAACACACTAATAGGCACAGGAGGAATCAATAAAAATAAAAGCAGCTAACACTGACAGAAGTTTTACTATCTGCCAAATGTTTCACTTTCATTAACTCATTTAATTCCACAGTGGGGAGATATTCTACCCATTTAATCCCCATTTTACAGATAAAGGATCCAAGAGTAGGTCAAGATCATTGTTCAAGCTCACATAAACAATAAGAGGAGTAGCTGACATTGTATGTCAACGTCTCAATTCAATCTCTATTACCATAACATTAAAATAAAAATCAGCACACAGCTTCAAGCAAGAAATATGAGCAGAATGTGTAACCCAAGGTCAATAATGTAAATAGCACATACGTTTTCTCTCTATTAACAGGCACACCCTTGGCATCCAAGAAGCTCCTACTCACATTCCAATTCACATGCAGCACAACAAAATGTTATATAAAGGGTTTTTTTTATTTGTTTATTTGTTTTTAATTATCTCTGGCCATCAAAAGATATTACACAGTAACTAAACAGTTAAGGAAGACTTCAGAGTTAATCTTCATCTTAAAGGAAAATAATTAAACATATTCTCAAAGGGGGTTCTTTACATCTTAAACATGTATAGTGAGAACCTGATACAGTACTACATGGGAATGGGAAGAAAAGAACTGCACCATCTACATGGTTTTAGTTAGCAATAAAATATATCACAGCAGCCATCAAACATGCCGCTGCATTCGACGTGAGCTGAAACTGTTCACATTGTGATTCAGTCTGGGAAGATGAAAAGCAATTAACAATACCACCCACAAACCCCAACCCATCCTCCGTGAAAAGTACACAAGAAGTGAACAAGGCTAGTACTCTGAAGAAAAAAAAAAATGTTTCCAAACTATACCGAGGGCAGAGGAAAAGGAAACAGAAGGAGACACACCAATGCTTCTCCACAAGTCTGCTCTAGAAATTCTGCAGAATGTTTTTAGAAATTATATTTTCATTTACTTGGGGCTGCTGGCAAGTCTGCAGAGCAATGGCTCAAAATACTGGAGAGCCAACAGAAGTCCTTAAAATGCTAGCAGAAAAGAGACAAAATGAATTTAAATTCTATAAAAAGAAAAAACAGAACAAGATCAGATGGAAACAAAGGTATAAACTAAAATACGCCTATTCCAAACAAGCATTTCATTTCTGTACAGGCAATCGACGTGTCATAAAAGCCTGATTTGCTCTCAAATTCTAAGTCATTACACAATATACCAGCCCCTTACAGGCAAAAGCACACTGTAACACAATTTCACATATTTATCCAAAGGCCATTCAAAGAAAACTTACCAAGGCTGCAAACGTCTGTATGTCTGTGCTCAGAGGGAGAGCAGGGAGAGCAGAGCAGCTCTCTGTACTTACACTAGGGTTCGCTTCAGTGCTAAGAGCGCATCAACACAGCCCTGCCTGTAATAAAGTCCCCCACCAGCAGTCCGCCTTTGGGCTGGGCTTTTCTCTTACAAGATAAGCTGTTAAGTCATGCCTTGATTTTAAATCTGCTAACATATGGAGCCTTCTAATGCAGCCTGCTCTCCAGCCCCTCTACTCCCCCTCCCCATCACTACTCAGCTCCACTCCCTCTCCGCACATACACATACACACATACAAAAAAGGCACTGCAGGGCAGAAATTCCTCAGGTGCTCGCTAATGGAATTCCCAGGGTCTAGGAGCCGCTTCGGGGATCAAGAGATCTCACAGCCCCTGCTGGGGTAAGGAGCAGCGAGTCTGTTCCATTTAATCAAATACAGAATGAATTTTCAGCTCTATTCACTAGCTTGTCTCCAGGGCTCTCAAAAGGCACCAGGCAGCTAGAATCACACACATGTGGCTCTTTTAGGCAAGTATAATTAGTTTGATTTTAAAAAGCCACATTAATAATATCACCTCAGGACCATTATTCAGGGGACAGATGACAATGATACTGTATGTTTTAAGCCTGACAATGGAGGGAAAGTGCACAAACAATGAGAGAAAACTTGAAGGATTTTTTTTTAAGGAAAAAAAACCCACAGCTTTTCATTTCAATGCAACCCAGTATTTTAAAAGTGACATTAAGTATATTCTTGTGTACTACCCCTTAATTTTAACAATAAACAAATACAGCTCTCCCCTCCTGTGCATAGCGGGTGCATGCTACCTACACAATAAAAATTTATCCCATGGAGTGTTTGAATACAATGTAAAAGTGTAAATAAAAACAATGTAACCTTTTTTTAATTCAATCTAGGTGAGTAAATCTCTTGGGGGGAAAAAGCATCAGTCAAAAGTAAACAAATAAAAGAACACAATGTTTAAAAAAAAAATTCCTTCAAAGCAGTACAGTTAGCAGCCAGACTCCAAATTCCCATTTTAATTAGTTTGTATTAAGATCATTAAGCTAAAGAAAGCCTACCTGTAGGTAATACATTCACACTTCTAATGTACTGTCCTAGCTATAATTCTGTACCACAGAGATGCTGATCACATGTTAACTAATAACTCACATTAAAACAATAAATTTTCCAATTCATATCTTTTATCATTTTTATTCCTCCCTTGATTTCACAACGATAATGTTTAACTCCTGAAATCACTTCCCCAGTATTTTACTTAGAAACATTCACCAAATTTTAGTCTACATGTTCACAAAAGAAACATCTCCAGAGAAGAAAAACCCTACTGTCATTTTAAAAAAAAGAAAGAAACGGTATGAGAACCACAAGAGCATGCACACAAAACAGAAAACAAGAGGAAAGACAGAACCAGCTATTACATTTTACCTGGCCTTTGTGGAGGACCACCCTATGACACAAGGTCCTATGGCTGGGCACTCCTCTATATATGCCCTGATGATGGGGGAGGGTCCTATCTTAAAGTGAAGTTAATGCTTTTCACAAAAAACATCAAGCCACCTGCAAAACCTGAGATACAGGAAACAACCCACTCAAGTTAGATCAGTGTTTGTCAAGTCCTTGGATTCTTTGCACTGCTTGAAAGTACTGTTTAAGTACTTTGCACAGGAGAGGCTGATGAGAACCACAGCAGTCAATCAAAGCATCCCAAGTGAGTTACTACACAAACAATAGCACAGCACCTCTTAGTGACTGGTTTTCCTAGGTGATTAAACTATTCAAAGAAAGGCTTCCCAAATACTGTAACCGAGTTTTTGAAAGAAAGTTAAACAATATACATTTGTGTGTTTTATAGAAATAAAAACGTTTCTCTTTTACACACTGTCAAACACACACCCAAGGCACGCTTTACAAAATGAAACAGGTTTTCTCCATCCTTCTCATATAACTTAAAGCATGCAGTAATTTATTTCAACATGTGCTTAACAGACTACAGTATTCAATGCCTCTCCAAGTTTCTAAGAATTCTTTCAAGTTCAACACTAATTTAAAATTCCCAGAAAAAAAAAAATCAGACGATTTTTCTCTCGTCCTATCCTAAAAGTTAAACTATCCATATCCCACAATTTAATCTGTAAGTAGACTGGAAAGGAAGAGTTATAAAAATGTAACTAGAATTATATTAAAAAATAAAGGCACCTCTTCTCCAGCCCCCTTCCCACCTCCTTCTGGCAGACAGTCCTTGAGCTATGGCAAACGTCCACTGGGAATCCGAGGGGTATGGTATCAGTGAGGCGTGGACTCTGAATTCACTCAACCCCTTTCATCATTCCTGGCACTGGCCTGAGACCAAATCTCACATTACCTTTTAGTCCAACCTCCTGTTCCCCAAGGTGTCTGATTAAGGACACAAAGGCTGGCTTTCTGTTAACGAGGCTCCCTAAATTCGACAGCCCAACTAGGGAGCAACCTGCCCTTAAAACACCTGCCACCCTCTGTGGCCCCCAAGAGGAAAAGCAGGCATTCTGTGAAGAGTTCTTTCTCGAGAGCCTTCCACCTGATTTGGTGGGGTTAGAGAGAACAATGAAGCGAAGGGCAAGGAAGTCTATCTATCCCCCTCGGTGATTTATTACTGAAATGCCTAAAAGTGGAGAGAAAGCAACAAAGGTCTGAAGCTGCAGGCTGAAATAAATAGCGATGTATTTAAAGTATTTAGTAAATGATAATGCGAGCCGCAGAAAGCTTTACAGAAGAGAAGGAAAAATACACTCCCTGGGGCTGGGAAGTCACTGAGTCTGTGAAGGCAGAGAAAGATACATTGTGCAGGAAATTTCTCTTGCTTCTCCCTAGACATAAATCACTGTCTCTCCCCGGCACTCTACTGGGATGGAGAGGGGAGACAGAGTTGGCTCTTGGGAGCAGCGCTGGCGCCCTCTGCTAAGCCGCATCCCACCTGCCCTGGCAGATCTCCGAAGACCTCAGCGTGTCACTGACACCTCACCCCGCCTCCTCCTGCGAGGTGGCTCCAAGCGCCCTAGGAAGCGGCGGTGAGCCGGCTGCGGGGCATCCCTCAGCAGCCCTTCCACCCCGGACCCCTTGCATCCTGAGGGCAAGCTGGCCTCCGCTTCCCCAGGACCTCCCGCTCCCCAGCCGCGACCCCGGGCCACCCTTGGGGACCCTGCCGCGGGACCCCCGCACCTCTCCGCAGGGCTGGCTAAGCCCCCAGACCTCCTGCGCGGCAGCCGGCTCCGAGAGCCACCCCCAGGTCATCCCCCCGCGCGCTGGCGGCGGCGGCGGTGGCTGCGATCCGAACGGGCCCCTCCATGCACCGGGCAGGGCGGCCGGAGGGTGCGGCGCCTCACACGCGGGGCGGGGGCGCTGGGGCGGCGCGAGGTCCCCGTCTCGTACAGAGCCGCGCGAGCCGGGCACCCGGGCTCCGGGAGGGGAGCAGGGGGCGGAGTCCCGGGGCGCGCCCCCGCGGCCGCGCTCCTCCCCGCGGAGCGCGCGGACGCCCGGCACCAGAGCCGAGGGAGGAGGGCACCGGCGGAGACAGAGGCGGGGCCGTAGAGGCCGGGACTCCCCGGCCCGCGCCCCGCCGCGGGGTGCGCGCGCAGCCTGCCAGATCAGCGGCGGGCAGGGCCGTACCACTACTCCGAGGGGGGACGCCCCGCGCGCTGGAACCTGCGCGCCACTTGTCCGCCCGCTCCGCACCGACACCCCCTCGGGCAAGTGCGGGTGAAGCCTCGGGTGTTGCAGACCCGGTGAGGACGAGCTGCTTAGGCGAGAGACGGAGGTGCCCGTCAGGTCTGCACTCACTCTCCCCTCACCTTCGCTCGCCCCAGAGAGGCGGCATTCCTGCCCGGTGCGCCCCACAGCACGTTCCCGGTTCCCGCCCAGGCCCCGCCCCGCCCTACCCCGCTCGCTTACCTTTTGAGGAGCCACCTAGAACTGCTCTTCTCTAGTGACCCTGTGGTTGCGATTTAACCACGTAGCCTTTGCCTTTTCACAACTCCCTAGGTTCAAGTCCTTAGCTTCTTTTGATTCCCCAGCTCACCCACGCTGCCTCCACTGGTGCAGGTGACAACATTCTGAGAAATTTGGAAAGGCTCAGTGTCGCCTGGCGCCAAGCATCTTGCCTTTTGGCCCTGCAATCTTCTCAACTCATCCCTTGGACCTGCCTCCAAATTATGCTCAGTGAATATTAGTAGGGTAAAAAGAAAAAGAGGGAAACAATTCCTCATTGTGATATTCTTTGAAAAGTACCTGCCACTCATTGAGCATCCTGGGATTGTAACTTTTAATAATAATAGTTATTATTATTAGTTTCTTTCTTTTAACCCTATGGACATTACTATTAATTTAAAAAGGCTTTTGATGATGATACTTGGTGGTCACAGCTACTCTTTACTGAGCTTCAAAAGAATACACCTTACCTTTTTGCTTTAGTTGGTGTGCAGAGTATTTCCGAATACCTTGGAGAAGAAAATCAGTATAAAAAAAGAAAGAAAGCTTTAAATCTGGCTTGCCCTCCTTTGTTCCATATTTTTAAGTTATTCAGGCAAGATATAGAAAAAGATATTTTTATTCAGCAAAGACACCTTCCTATAGAAAAAAAAAATAAGATTTAACAGACATAAATTTTGTGCACATGGAGTAGAAGTCTAGCGGCATTCTAAAGATGCCTCTGCATTCCTTAGATACCCGGCCCTACTACAAACACTTCCAGCTTCTTCTTTGGGGGTTCAGTTGACTTTGGGCATCTCCCTGCTAAATCTAATAGTGCTACTCAAATATCACTATACCTAATGTTATTCAGAATCATCCCTGAGAAACTTGTAAGTCAGATTCCTCTTCGACTGCCTATTTGTAAATTGGACAAATCATCTCAGATGCAAAATGGTTTTTCATTAATGAATCACTTGTTCGACATGTGGTTAAAATTAGTAAGTACTTACTCTATACCACCAGTAGACACAGGAGTACATAGAAAAATATTACATATCTCAAGCTTCAGAGAACTTACAATTATACCAGGCTTTCTCTTCTTTTGGGCCACCAACCAGCTCCCAAATCATGACACAGCAACTTGAAAATTTTGAATGCTCTTAGGCTTCTCTCTGCTTAGCTCTTTTAAATTAACCTGTTTCTTTTTGTCTACCTTTTGCCTTGGGATTTTTAGTTTTCTTTCCTTCTGTATGTCTTACTTTCACTGCTTCTAGTGTCTTGCTGGCTGGTGGCTGCCTGGTTTCTTGCTCCAAGGTTGTTCCTCTCTCCTTCATTCTTTCCTCTCTTCTCTCATTCTCCTCAAGCCTAGATTTCCTACTTATTCTCTCTGCCTGGCAGCCATTCCTGGCTAGCTATTGGCCATTCAGCTTTTTATCAGATCAATCAGGTGCCTTAGGCAGGCAAGGTGAAGCAAATGCAACACATCTTTACATAATTAAACAAATGCAGCACAAACAAATGAAGGACACAGGCCTTCCAGGCATTGGAGAACTAGTGCAAGGTTTGGAGTGGGTGAGAGATATAATACAACTGTATTTAGAACAGTCATAGCATAGATACAAGAATAGATTTGAGGGAGTTTGAAAGCTCCCTGCTGTGGTATGAGTGTACCCCAAGGTTTTATGTGTTATAATTTAATCCCTGTTGTGAGGTATGAGAATAAAAAATTATTATAGCTGGTATTTCCAGGTAGAATCTTTGGAGAGTGATTAGGATTGAATACTATCCTGATGACTATGAAAGAAGAGGGAGACCAGAAAGACAAGTACACATATATTTCTGTCTTTGACTACATAATGATTTGTGCCATGTCAGGACCCCACCTGATGAAGCCCTTACCCCAATGTTTCTCCACCTTCCTAATGCTGTGACACTTTAATACAATTTGTCATGTTGTGGTGACCCCCAACCATAAAATTGTCCCATTGCTACTTCATACCTGTAATTTTGCTACTGTTATGAACCACAATATAAATACCTGTGTTTTTGATGGTTTTAGGAGACCTCTGTGAAAAGGTCATTTGACCCCCCAAAGAGATTACAACCCACAGGTTGAGAACTGCTACCTTAGACCTCACACTCTAAAACCTTGAGCCAAAACATGCAGTCTGTGGTTCTTTGTTATTAGCAATATTAACAAAGGTGAATGACTCTGCTGCTTTGGGACTAGCCAGGCAATTCAAATCAGAAGCAGAGGCTTGTAAATAGACTCATTCCACTTGTGCCTGCTAGGCCACATGACCCAGTGGCCTGAAAATAGTGCTACCAGCCAGGAGTCAAACATTCAAGCGCCAGACCTTGTAGAACACATTTAACATTCAAATCATAACCCTGGAACCACCAAGCACAAGTTTCTACTGGGTGGAGAAATCCAAGCTGGACATGAGTTTGAAAGTGATGAGTATGTGTTAGTAATTTTATTATGAAAAAAGAAGAAGAAGAACTTAATTAACCAACTTTTAAAGGAGGGGGCAGTTCATTTGGTTCACATGGTTTGAATGAGAATAGCACCCATAGGCTCCTGTGTTTGCATCCTTGGTTCCCAGTTGGTGGAACTGTTTGAGAAGGATTAGGAGGTGTGGCCTTGTTGGAAGAGGTGTGTCACTGGGCTTTGAAGTTATAAAAACTATACCTCTCTCTGCCTCCTGTTTGTGGATCTAGATGAGACTGTTCAGCTGGTGATTGCCCCACCATCATAGACGCTAAACCAGTGGTTCTCATCCTGTGGGTGGCGACCCCTTTGGGAGTTGAATGACCCTTCCATAGGGGTTGCATATCAGATATGCTGAATATCAGATATTTTCATTACTATCCATAACAGTATCAAAATTACAGTTAATAGAGAGGAGGAGGGAAGGGGGATGTGGAAAAATGTATAGCTCATTTTTTTTAAAAATGGCAGAAAATTAGAGTTATAAAGTAGCAATGAAACAATTTTATGGTCGGGGGTCACCAAAGCATGAGGAACTGTATTAAAAGGTCACAGTACTAGGAAGGTTGAGAACCACTTCTCTAAACCTTTGACACCATAAGCCCAATTAAATACTTCATTTAAGTTGCCTAGGCCATGGTGTTTTGTCACCATGAATGAAGTAACTATGATTTCATCAATGGACTTGTGCCAGGGCGGCACATTTCATGGGTCAAGATGCAAAAGAGGAAAGAGAAGGCTCTAGGGTTCCAGATTTTCTTTAAAGATTTGCTCCAGTGATGGAAAACCTGTCGATTCTTAAGGATGCTACTACCTCTATCCAGTTTGCAGCAAGTGTAGGGTAGTATTTACATCATAAAAGTTGAAGAGACCACTTAGGAGTGATATGGAGCTGTAAAAAGTTCTTTAAGCCTCCAGTGTCTAAAAACCCCCTAATGAATTTAAAGTAGAGGTGTTTGATGAACTCATGCTGTGGGAATAATGTTTGAGGAAGGTGTCAAAGGCTCAGATTATTCATTCGGGAAAGTAATAGTCGAAACATGAAATCTGAAAATCATTCACAGGATTGGCTACTGATGCTGAGGCTGTAGCTACTGTTGAGAAGTGTGCATTTGCAGTCTGTTTGACTGTGTGAGTTTTCTTAGTCAAAGTAACTATTCAGGCAGAGAAAACGTAGCATTCCAAATTTGGAGTTTTGCTGAGGGGTATGTACGAAGAGAACATTGCAGAGAAATGGCAAGAAACTAATTAAATCATCAATCATAGTAGAAACCAGACTGTGAACTAGAAAAGGGTAAGGAAGATAAGATGAAAATGGCACATTAAAGAAAATGACATTTCTTCCGGGTTAAAAAAAAGTTATTAGAGGATGGGGGGGGTCTTTGTTATTATCACAGTTTATATTTCAGAAGCAGAGAGTCACCAAGTATTAAAGTTACCTATTGATGGTGCTACCAAATAACTATAGTGTTAAGGTAGATTGTGCATCCAAAGAATTCTAGAGTAAACTGGGTGCTTTGAAAATATTAAATATTAAAACCAGTTCCCAGAAAGTGACATCAAGGAGTGAATACAATCAAGTGCTAATTCTATCTCTTATATATCATGTACTTCGTTCATACTCATCCCTCTATGCTGCTTAGTTTTTTGTTTGTTTGTTTGTTTTGGGGTGCTCAGGGGTTTGTTTTTGTTTGAAGCAGGGTCTCACTATGTACCCTGGGTGGCCTTGAACTTATGACCCTCCTACTTCATCTTCTCAAGTGCTGAGAGCAGAGGTATGCACCACCCAGCTCAGTAGTTATCCTACTGCGTTTGACTTTGGTAAAGAGTCTTGAATTCTCAGAGTGTTGATTTCATTGTTGGCCCAGTAGAGAAGACAATTACGTTGAGAGTTAATGGAGAACTGGGATGAAACACAAAAAGCCCTTACTATGATGCTTAGGTAATAA